TTGGGCACTTGATATTGTCGTTTGCGGTCGTCGTGAGGGGTTTATTTCATCTGATCGGTTTGTCGAGCTTCTAACGGAACAAATATGTTCATTTCGCGGTCGCCTTGGTACCATATTCGGCTACGACTGGATAAATCCGCCATTATTATACACAAAGATGAGGGAGGGGAGGAAGGGAAACAGCAGGTGTGATGACGCCACGGTAGATCCGCCAGAAGGGCCCATCTTTTGTGGACTAGAAATGTGTCAGAAGTTGTGATAGGACGAGGGCGAGACTGGAGTATTGGAGATGGATAGATGGAACAGGACAGAACAAGGAGCGATAGCATAACCCAGTGGTTCCCAAACTTTTTCAATTAAAATTTTTCCCTGGCGCCCTACCCTAAGTATGAATATTCGTAAGTAAGAGATAAAAATAAATAAATCTCGTGTATCTTTATTATTTTTTTTTGCTTTATTAACATTAAATTAATATTTACTAAATAATGTGATGGATGAGCCTGCAAATCACTGCACATTTAAGCTTTTACAATATTTTGCGGCTCTCCGGTGCGCCGCGACGCACATTTTGGGATTCACTGGCATAACCGTTTCGACAGAAAGTTGTTCAAGTGATTGACTTCACTTCTCTCTTTAATGAGTTGTAGTTTGGTACTCATTGACGATGCCGGCGAGATGTCTGGGAATGTACCAAGTCCACGGTCCTACTCTGGTAATTACCATGCACACTATGGACTCCGGACCAGGTGCTTTCCTCTACATTTTCCTACTAATATGACCAAGTTGCGAAAACAAGGTCAAAGCTAAAGGAGTCTGCGACCAAACAGAATAATGGATTTGCCTTGAGTCTAGTCAGGGCCGTCCCACATTTTCATCACATGGACAATACATACACACAATAGACTATAGCACAAACCCTAACATGAGCCAAATATTTATTTCTTTGTATAAGGAAACAGCTTCCATCGAACGCACTTCCGGTTCGGGAAGTAACTTTCTTCATCTGTTGAATGGGGTTGAAGTAGCCAACCAAATCATCGAAGGCCTCATTAAGATCGCGAAGTTAGGCGCATGGAAAAGCGACTATGGTTGCAGTCGGACAACTTTTCTTTTGGTTTAGTATATCTTTGCTCTATTTTCTAAAGTATGAATTCTTTTTCTCATGAAGAGACAAATATATATATATTTATATTTATATATACAAAAGAGGTGATGGACGTCGTCAAACCTTGAGGGTCGAGATCAGACGTTAGTTTTGCTGTTTTCATTTCTTTGAGCCATCACTGTTGGTTTCGCACATATTCGAACACATTAAGGCACATATATATATACACACACAC